ATATATATATATATATATATATATATATGATTTATATGATATATATAATAAATTATATATGAAATATTTTATATATAACGTAAATCGAGAATATGTGAAGTTATGTGTTAGAACGATTATAAATATAATTAAATATAATTAGAAAATAATTGATAGTTTCGTGGAAAATCGATTTCTGCATTTAACAAAATCAAAAATCTTGGTGCCAAGCTTTACTTGCCATTCGAACAATTGCGTTTTTAATCTTTTACCGTGAAATTTTGTGATTCTGTGTAGTCTGCTTTTGTTTACAAATTGAGGTTATGTGTATGATCGATTTTTGTTTACAAATGTACATTTATGTAATATGATCTCTATTCTTTAGTAGAGCATAGAATTAATGAAAGTGGTTAATTATGAACATCATTTTTAATTTTTGTTTAAGTATCGTGAAATTGTGTATATGACGTTAATTGAAATTATGCGACGTTTGGTGACTGTCATAGTTGTTAATTAAAAGATGATTGATAGTGTCGAGGAAAAAGGAATTAGTTTCTGACTTCAACAGAATTAAACCACTTTTCAAGCTTCGTGAATCTTTATGAGCCTCTTTAATTGCCATTCGAAGAAATTATAATTGTTTACAAATTGAGGTTATGTGTATGATCGATTTCTGTTTACAAATGTACATTTATGTAATATGATCTCTATTCTTTAATAAAATATAAAATTAATGAAAGTGGTTAATTATGAATATCATTTTTAATTCTCATTTAAGTATTTTCATGAAATTGTGTATATGACGTTAATTGAAGTTATGCGACGCTTGGTGACTGTCATAGTTGTTAATTAAAAGATGATTGATAGTTTCGAGGAAAAAGGAATTAGTTTCTGACTTCAACAGGATTAAACCACTTTTCAAGCTTCGCGAATCTTTGTGAGCCTCTTTAATTGCCATTCGAAGAAATTATAATTGTTTACAAATTGAGGTTATCTGTATGATCCAACTTTGTTTATAAATAGGATTATATAATATGATTTCTATATTCAATAGAGGGAATTAATGATAGTGGTTAATTATGAACATCATTTTTAATTCTCGTTTAAGTATCCTGAAATTGTATATGGGTTATGTTGACAGGTTATGTTGACGTTAATTGAAGTTATGCGACCCTTATGACTGTTATAATGGTTAATTAGAAGATGACTAATAGTTTCGAGGAAAAAGAGATAATAAATGTACGAAGAGGGAAAATTGTTCGATAAATTGTAATCATTATCACCGTGTATCAAGGATTTAACAAGAGGAATTGAAGAAAACCAGGCTCGAGAAGGAAGGATTTGAATATTATAACTTTTCGAAGTATTATCATTTCGGTGCAACTTGACAACGATTAAAGTTATAACAGGAATTCTTCGAAAATAACTTGGCAAATTGAATGAGAATTATTTTAACCATCAATTGATTAGATACGACTAAAGCAGATTATTTAGTTTTATATCATTTAATTATAAAATCAGATCTTCCAAGCTAAGCTTTAATTACGTCGAAATCGTACAAATTTTATTTTCATAATTGAGCAAATCACTGTTCTATAATTATTTGAAATTATTATTCGTAGTATTATCTTTCATTTTTAAACAGTGAGATTATATTGAATACAATCTACAAACAGAATTACTTATTTAATAACACTATTAAATTTATACAAACAAAATTTAACGAACATTCTATAATTATTACGAAATTATTCCCTGAAATAAAGCTTTTCAGAGGGATTAAACTTATAAGAAAGATTAAACTTGTAATTCAAAATAATAATTCCAGAAACTTCTATAAAATTTGAATAAGGGAATAAAATAATTTTGATTTAAAGAAAAAGAAGAAAAAATATTTCGATTAAAATTAATTAATAAACAATCTTTCCTAGAACGATAATTTTAATCGAATAATAATAATTTCTAAATAACAAATAATATTCTCCAAAGTATTTACAGAATCTCGATTTTATTATGGGAGAATTTAGGACGAATTAGAGCGCATCATCAGGGGCGAATAATGGATAATAATCTCGATCCAGGCAGAACTTTTGATTGGATAATTTCGGAGTAGCGAAACGTCGGCTTGTTTTTGGCGGAACTTCACGCCAGGAACGTGAACAAGGAACGCCAGAGTTATGGATCGACCCGTGTACGACGTCGCTTGTAAATCATCGTACGAGTCGTGTCACAAATTTGACGAAGTCAAAGCTCGATCCGTGAACGAGCGTTGTGTATATATCAATGCAAAAATCAATGGAAACTCGCGTAAAACTCTTGATTCCTTGAAAACGAAGTTAAAGAAGCCAAGTCCTGGAAAACTTTCATTTTAATATTTGAAATAAAGCCTATGAATACTCTCTGAAAATTGTATATTTTATTCCAATTTGTAATCTAATTCCAATTTATTTTGTAAAATAAAGAAATGTATAATAATTTGAGATTTAGTAAAAATGAAAATTCGAAATTGTTACAGGTGTATTATTTTTATTTTAAAAAGCTAACAATAGAAGGAATAGCTATAAGAATCTCAAGGCCACTGTAATTTTATAAATTATAAACAATTGAATGTAGTGTATGAACTATACTTATTTTGAATATAAATATAAGAACAGTATGAAATAACCATAATTTTTTTCTTTAACTTTAAATAATTTTAATTCATTCGATTGATCTTGAACCATCACATTAAGAGCAAAAAAAAAAGGAACATTATAGTTCTCATCATCATTTTTCACTGGATAAAAAAGATAAAGATAAAAGCAAGACGAGGTCGAAACTCGTTAATTTCGTATGATTATAACAACCACTTCGAGTGTACTATACCTAGCTTCAACGTGTCATAAATATGAAACAATCATAAGTAAAGTAACACTTTCCTTCTGAAGAATCAAATACTTTAACCTTGAACCACTTGGCCAGAGACAGGCTTTCCATTAAGTGCAAAAAATAAAAAAGAAGAAGAAGAATATTATAGTTTGATCTAAAAATAAAAATGAAGATGATCGGGACTAAGTTAATTTCGCAATGGCACGTTCAATAGCGCCACACGGATGGAAGACATGTTCTTAGACGATAGAACGATATAATATTGTAGTGACGTAGTTGGAGACCCCGCAGCACATCATTTCCTTCCAATAGATTGTCATCAACAGGGAGTAAAAGAGAGAGAAAGAGAGAGAGAGAGAGGTGGGAATATGATATAGCTGATGCAGCAGATCCTCGTTACTTTACCGGATAACAGCTTTCCACTTTGGTCGCCTGGGACCAATAATCAGTTTGGTGATGCAAAATATATGTGTATATGTTTTTTATATCTATTTTTCTCTCTGAAAAAACGTATATGGATACGTGCAAAGAGGAGAGATTTTTAGATGTAATATTTCAACTTCTCTGTAATTTCTCTTGTGAGTTTTATAGGTTATGTGTCGAACGAGGATGAGATTGAATTTCTAACATTTTTAAATTGGAAGAATTGAAAGTGTTACAAGAAGTGTTTGGAAGTGTATTTAATTATTTCTTGTAAAGTTCGTGTAGATATAAAATTCCAGAGTGAATATTGGTGAAAAAGTAGCGAAAAGGTTAAATGATTCGTCAGAAAAATGTGAACAAAAGACAGGCTTCTTTCGATTTCTTTTTCTGTTATATAAATTTTTATTTCTGAATAAAACTTCCTTTTTATCTACTTTTATTATTTCTTACATTTTTCTCTACAGGAAATCCTCTTCGCAAGTGTCCACGATAATTCTCTCGAAATTCGTAAAATTCGAGGCCAAGAAGCTCCATCCACTTCTTCGTTCGTTCAACATTTTGAAGGAGAAAAAAGAAAAAAGGAACTGTTTCCAAATATCAATGAATCAATTCCTCGCCTCTAAACACTCTCCATTTTTCCACAACTTCAAAACAGTGTTTTAGACAATTTTAGACAAGGTTCGTGGCAAGTACACAATTTCAAAACAGTGTTTTGGACAATTTTAGACAAGGTTCGTGACAAGTGGCAAGTAAAAGTAACCTAAGAACCCAGGAACTTGAGCTCTCAATCGTTCACTTTATATACTGTTACAGCTTCCCATGTATCTCGCCCTCTTGTGCAAACACCGCGTGTGTACGAAGCTTAAAAGCCTCCTTGGTACACTTCCTGTGCGTAGAGAGAGGGGAGAGCAGGTTCTCTCGAGGTGGGGAGGAGTTGTCAGTGACACGATTGGTTATACACGTTACGTTATAATGAGAACTACTCTCGTTGGGGATCCTCGAAATGGGGAAAATGGAGGGTATCTTTTATCTTGGAGGGTAGATACTTCTTAATGTACACGTCTTAGAGGCGTGTGACAATGGAGACTTGTGAAGAATAATGGATGTTATGTGATATAGTATGATTGGAAGTTATATGATTTATTACGTTA